AAGCAGAAACCATCCTGGCCTGCCCATGAGACGCCCAAACTCGCCAGCGAGAAGCGAGGATGCTCCCGGGCTGCTGGGAAGGACACCCAGAAAGCAGCCTGGGCTGCCACACTTCTTCTGCACCCCTGCGCAAGACACAAGGTCATGTTTCTGGGTGAATGTTTGATGTTTACCCTCTTTGGTGGACCTTAACTTCATGGAGGAAGGGACCCTTCTGTGTTCCCCAATCCGCCTCTAGCCCCCAATCAGACGCACGGTGGGTGGGAAGCTGGTGCTCAGATGAGCCAGTGAGTGGACCCACGAACCCGCCTGCTGGCCTGCTTCCCAAAACCTAAAACCACCTGCCAGCAGCCATCTGGGAACCGCATGAATGAAAGAAAAGTAAACAGGACTACAAAAGTTAATGGAAAAGTAATACAATGTTTCCCCATTCATTTTTACAATTGTTACAAGGCAATAAGAAGTCAAATGCCAAAGAAGCAAAGTGCAGGTCCCTGGCCTTTTAAACAAACCTAGGTACAGAGCCATTCAGAAGTGCAGACCCTGCAGGGGGAGCAGAAGCACCTAGATTGCTTTTTAAATTTTATTTACAAGCCAAACATTATGTAGAAATTATGCGCTTTTCCTTTCTGTTCTCTTTCTACCATATATAGGTATAAAACGTAAATAAATGCTGGGCATGGGTGGCTCACGCCTGTAACCCCAGCGCTTTGGGAGCCTACTGCGGGTGGATCACCTGAGGTCAGGAGTTCAAGAACAGCCTGACCTACATGGTGAAATCCCGTCTCTATTAAAAATACAAAAATTAGCAGGGCATGGTGGCACGTGCCTGTAATCCCAGCTACTCGGAAGGCTGAGGCATGAGAATTGCTTGAACAGGGGCCCGGGAGGTGGAGGTTGCAGTGAGCCGAGATCTCACCACTGCACTCCAGTCTGGGCTACAGACTGAGACACCATTTCAAACAATAAATAAATAAACAAAGAAGCCCTGGGGCAAAAAAAAGAAGGCAGAGAGTCAGGCAGGGGCCCTGCTGGCTGGGCGCATCCCCCTCCAGGCCCTCCTCAGACCTGTTGGCAAGGCTGGTGTGTTCTTGAGGCCCCAGGGACCTGATTTGCTTCCATTTTCATGACAAAATGTTCCGGTGCTGTGGTTTAGTGACATGGGGGATCCAGACCAGGCTGTGTGCCTTTGGGTCAAGCCATGTAATTTCTCTGAGCCTCGATTTCTTCCACTTTATATAAACCTTACACTCTTTAACTGTCCTTGAGGATTTTCACTTCGTTATTAAGGATTGCTAAGTACTGAATAAAGCTCCTACTCAGCAACGACTTTTATCACTAACAATGAAAGTGTTTGTGATTTAAGTGAAAATATATATGCACATAAGAAACCATATATTATATAACTATTATATAAAATATGCAGAGTAACCCTGATTTTATTTTAAAAATGTATCTTCATATGAAAATACTTTGAGGACAAAAGAAATTGCAATAGTCACAAGTTGTAGCATCACAGGTTATTTCCTTTTTTAGAGTCCATAAAATACAAATACCTTTTTTTTTTTTTTTTTTTTTGAGACAGAGTCTCCCTCTGTCTCCCAGTCTTGCTGTCTCCCAGGCTGAAGGGCGGTGGTGTGATCTCGGCTCACTGCAACCTCTGCTCACTGTAATTGCTCCAGTTCAAGCGATTCTCCTGTCTCAGCCTCCTGAGTAGCTCAGATTACAAGCACCCACCACCACACCCAGCTAATTTTTTTTTTTGTAATTTTAATAGAGATGAGATTTTGCCATGTTGGCCAGGCTGGTCTTGATCTCCTGACCTCAGGTGATCCGCCTACCTCGGCCTCCCAAAGTGCTGGGATTACGGGCGTGAATCCCCATGCCTGGCCGAAATCCAAATACTTAATTCTAATGTATTATCTTTAAAATATGAAACTGTAATGGAACTCTCCCGTGCCTGTGAAAACAGACACTCAACACAGCATCACCTGGTGAGGTGTGACATGAGTGATCACAACAATGGAAATGTTTTATCTATTTCAAAATAACAATATTTAGAAGTCAGTCCTTATTCCCCCCTTGCCAACCCCCCAACGTGAAGAAAATGAAACACTTCCAACACAGAAGTGGCTGCCTGTCCTCTGCCTTGAACGTGCTGGGTGTGGTATGGAACTCAACCCAAATTCTTACACTGAAATCCTGACCCCCAGAGGATAAGAGGTAGGGCCTCTGCCAGGTGACTGGGTCACAAGGGTGGAGACCTGTGGTGGGTTAAGTGCCCTTATGGGAAGGGACAGGCAAGAGCTTGTGTCCTCTGTTTACTACTCAAGTACACAGCCCATCAAGAGGACGGCCTTAGGCATACAGCACACGGCTGGACCTGACGCCAGCACCTGACGCTGAGCTTCCCCTCCTCTGTAACTGGGAAAAGGAAAAGTTTGCTGTAGAAGCCACCGGGCCTTGTGACAGCAGCCAGAATGAACAAAGACAGGCTGTTTGGCAGGAAGGCACCTGACATCATCCTGACATCCTCCAGTATTAATTTATAACACTTTCATAAGAAGCATTCATCAATTTATGGAAAACTCGTATATGTTAACATGGAAAATATAAAAGTAAAGAGTTGGCCAGGCGTGGTGGCTCATGCCTGTAATCCCAGCACTTTGGGAGGCTGAGGTGGGCGGATCACGAGGTCAGGAGATGGACACCATCCTGGCCAACATGGTGAAACCGAGCGGAGATTCCGCCACTGCACTCCAGCCTGGGTGACAGAGCGAAACTCTGGTGGAGACTAAACTTATCCAGACAACTGAGCTTCAATCAGGCATCAGGGACCAGCAAGTTCTCTGAACGGGGCCAGAGAGTAAATATTCCAGGCTTCGCAGGCTGCAAAGACCCTCACCTCTGCTGTAATAGCTGGAGAGCGGCCCAAACCCTCTGCAGTCCACCCACACAAAGCATGGCTCTGCATCACAAAAAGTCTGTTTACAGCTGGGCCTGGTGGCTCATGCCTATAATCCTAGCACTTTGGGAGGCCACGGGGGCAGATGGCCTGAGCTCAGGACTTTGAGACCAACTTGGGCAACATGGTGAAAATCTCATCTCTACTAGAATACAAAAAATTAGCCAGGTATAGTGGTGTGTGCCTGTAATCCCAGCTACTGGGGAGGCTGAGGCACAAGAATTGCCTGAATCTGGGAGGCAGAGGTTGCAGTGAGCTGTGATCATGCCACTGCACTATAGGCTGGGCAACAGAGCAAGACTCTGTCTCAAAAAAAAAAAAAAAAAAAAAAAAAAAAAAAAGGAAGGAGAAGAAGGAAAGTCTGTTTATGAAAACAGGCAGCTGGCCTCATGCATGGGCCCGGGGGCCCTAGTCCGGGGACCCTTCGTCTACAATGCTTTACTTCCACATTCACAGGGGCCTCGGCTTTGCAGTGGCTGACACTGACCTTGCTCTGCCAGGGTGCACCTCTCACAAGAGCTCTGAGGGGCTCCCTTCACAGTTCCTCCAAGTCTCACTAACGTCTCACTAATGTTCGCCCGCATGGCTTGCGATGGATGAGGTTTGCTCCCCACAGGATGCTCTCAGGACAGAGGTGGCGCGAGGAGGCCGGGGATAAATGTTGAGTGGGGGGAAGAAGGGGCTGGGCTGTGGGACCCCAGCGACTTTGCGCTGCTTTTCAGGGGAACCCTGAGCTCCTTCGGCATCGGCACTGGAAAAGGCAAGAAGAAACGTAAGCGGTGAAGGACCAACTAGGGACGACATGCTGAAAAACAGGTAAGTATCTGAGAGGCAGAGACGCGCGGGAAGGGACGGCAGGCTTAGGAAGGAACCCAACTGCTTCAGGAAAGAAAACGCGAAGTGTGAGAGCTGGTGTCATCTTTGAAAGTCAGTTGAACAGTGAGCGTATAGAATCCCTACAATTTCATCTGAAGACTAACTGAAACATTTAAAAGGAAAACACAGGCTGCCCATTTGGAGGAAGTCCCAGGGACAGTCCTGCGGTCACTGCTTTCACAGCTTGTCTTCAGGGGCGGAGCACAGCGTGCCCTCCATCACCTCTGAGCGGCTCGACACTCTCCCCAGAGCCCGGGCGTGGCTGCCCTGCTCTGCTCCCGAAAACGCCCATGGCACCGGAAAGGTGACAGGTGCTCTGCCCCGATGGCTTTAAACCAGATGGGGAGAGGCCTCTACAAGTGATTCCCACCACTCCCACCAGCAATGGGACCCTCTGCCAGAACCAGGCTTCTCCCAAGCTTCCAACAAGAAAAGACTGGATTTAGAAATCTCAGTCCTAGCTGACCCCGGCCCTTCCTATCCCAGGGTGACACTACCTCTCTGCCCGCTGCAGGCATTTCCCCAGGTCCTGCTCTCAGAGCGGTGTCTGGCACTACAATTACCCACATCTATGTTACCCCTTACAGAAACTCACGCTCTGCCAGGAGAATTTCCTCTGATTTATGGATGTTCCTGACGGCAGGTGATCAATAATGAATAAAATTAACCTAAAAACAATTCCCAAAGGCGGGTCCTCGCTCTCTGCTCTGAGTGCCATCTTATTTTTTTGGGGCGGGGGGGGGGGGGCGGTCTAAACTTGACACTCTGTGTCCCTTCAGTTTATTCTCTCCTCAAAGCCTCCTATCAAATATTTAAAGTGTTTTAAAGGACGGGATTGGATTAAGAATGGGCAATTACAATGAAGAAATGGCTCACAGACAAGTTTTACAGAGCACAAGAAATGTTCTCTCCTGTACAAAAAAAGGCCACCCAGATGACACACAGACCCTATGCCAGGCCGTTCTCAAGCCATATCTTGTCTCTTCTGAACGCAGCACTTTCTATGAAATGTACCTGAGGATCGCCTCTGGAATGCAGTGCTCTCAAAATGATTGCCCACCCGGCAGTGACATCCTCCCGCCACCCACATGCACAAGGGCAGGCAGGACTGATTTCTCGAAGTGCCTCCTGTACGGTATTCCCAGCAATGCGCATTTACCGTCCTGGAAGACCCTCTCCACGTTCAGCCCGTATGTGGCACACGTCTCGTAGTACGTGCACCGCTTCAAGTCATTGGAGAGCTTCCTCGCCCTGGCATCGTCGATGACCCTCGGGTTAGTGGAACTTATGGCATCTGGAACGGAAGAGCAACAAGTAACGGCACGGTGACAATGACAGCTGTAACTACTTCCCACAACATACGCTCCCCACGTCGCAGAAAACCGGTCCTTACTCAGCAAATGTAATTATGCTATGAATCTGAAGTTTGCAGGGCATAGTTTGCCTCCCAAATAACACTCAAACATCAGAGAAAGTTAATTACAACTTAAACTTCCTGAGTAGAAATTTGTTTTACAGGAGAGCTTTTGAAACTGAAATTTTAAAATGTTCAGAAAGAAGGAATAAGACTTAATTATGCATCTAGAGAACACATGCTTTAGAAAGAAGAAAAAAAACCCACACAAAGTCACTGTGTATAGGTCCCCTTCTGCGCACCACGCAGGTGGCTAGGCGTATCTCATGCACTGGTATTATTTTTCCACGTGTGGTCACTTGTCCATTTTTTAGACTGACCCATTTAATCAATGCTCACTGGGCTCCCATTCGGGGTCTGGTTCTGTTCTGTGCACAGGGACACCCCAGTGAATGAAACAGAGAAAATCTGCACTCTCATCAGAGAGACGTTCTAGTTGGCCAGAGAGGCAGGCAGGAAATGAAGATGCATGTGATGAATGGTTCTGAATGTGAGATGGCCGCACTGCTAAGTGATGCAGCGAAGAGGTCAGGAGGCTTGGGTGACCCCGGGTTTTGGAGTAAGTGGTCAGGGAACCCTCATCTACAGCAGGTAGGGTGCAGCAGAGGGCGGCAGGGCACCTGGTGTACATGAGGGAGATGCAGGGATGAGGCCCAGAGGGGTGGGAGGGAGGTGTGCGCAGAGAGGGGACCCCGTAGCAGAGGACACAGCAGTGCAGCAAGTCCCCTGAGGTTTTAATGGACCTCCTCAGGGTCACAGGTGACCTGGATTCCCCCAATCCAAGTCATGTGTGCACAGGGCACGTTCGAGCAGCTGCACAGAGATGCCACCAGCACCAGTTTCCTAAAACAGAAACAGAGCCCTCCTTTTTTTTTTTTTTCTTTAGCTCAGCTGCCAGGACTCCCCACCCCCAGCCCGGCCCCATTCATTCCATTACTTTTGAGTTACAGTGGCACATGGAACAGAGAAATGAGGAGGCAGAACGTGAACAGTCATAAGGCTTAGGGAAAAGAGGACTTTTCAGAGACGTTTTTCTTTTCTGTTTTGTTTTGCTTTTGTTTTTGAGACAGAGTCTTGCTCTGTTGCCCAGGCTGGAGTGCACTGGCGCGATCTGACTCACTGCAACCTCCACCTCATGGGTTCAATTAATTCTCCTGCCTCAGCCTCCCAAGTAGCTGGGATTACAGGTGCCCACCATGCCCAGCTAATTTTTGTATTTTACCATGCTGGTCAGGCTGGTCTTGAACTCCTGGCCTCAAATGATCCACCCTCCTGGGCCTCCCAAAGTGCTGGGATTACAAGCGTGAACCACTGTCCCCAGGCTTCAAGAGACAGTTTTCTAACCTGAATCTTTTTCATAGGGCTTGAAGGCTCTTATGCCAAAGAAAACAATAAACAACTCTTTAAACAAAAATCCACCAACGGGATTTCTCTACCAAAGAAATAGCAGTACAGTTATACAACACAGCGACCGCCTTTCACATTTTGTTTATTTTTGAGGAGGAAGGGCAGATGGCAACTCCAGTCTTCGAAGTATATTTAAAGAGAGGCACCTTGAGGAATTTGGTTAGTTTTTTTCTCTTCTCATATGCCATTTTCTTAGTCCTATGACATAGATCTGGGCTGACATTTCTTTGTTACCGGAAGGCAAGTGTACTCTGCAATTAGGGTTCTTTGCTGACAGTGACCAGTCCAGCCTCCACAGGCTGCACCCCATTCCAGGGATACAGCCAAAGGCCACTTCATCCTGCCTTCTTCTCTGGATAATTAGTAAATTCTACTTGCATTTCATAACATTTAAGGAAAAAAGTATTTTTTAAAAGTTCAAAAACATTTATTTTTAATTGTTAAAAAAGGAAATCCATGATGTTTCAATGCTCTAGGACAATTTTGAAAACACAGGCCACAGAGCATCCACCCAGCTTCCACGTGACCCTGACCCACGGCCTCCATCCTCAGTGGCACGGTCACTCTGTTTCTGTCAAATTTCGGCTTCACAGGTGCACCACGGACATCTCTGCGGGCTTCTGCACTCGCAGTCTGCATGTCAGTTTTATACTTGTCTCGTTTTTCCTTCCACTTTTAACTCTGTAGCTTTTTACAGATCCTGCTTCTCCTCAAATCAATTTAATGTATATATCTTTAAAACAGAACCTGTTTAACAAACATTAAGCGACGACCTCCTTCAGTCCCATCTTGTCCGATTATGAACATTCGTGCAGTCCTTGACTAGTGCCCAGAGAGTGCTCCTGCTGGCACAGCTGCTCCTCCCGTCAGCGGGTGGAGGCCTCACCCCAGGCCAGGCAGCCTTGGCAATGAACCTAATTCCTCTTCGGTTCTTTCCCATCCTACATGCTCTGAGCTCTAAAGCTGCCTACCCTAAACTGGCAGGAAGAGAAATGTTAGCCCCCTCTTGGACAACCTGGTCCCTGTTTTGTCTCTGGCATCCCAGGAAGCCAAGTCCGTACAAAAGCAGGTTTTAAGGAGGGCAAGTCTGCATGCAGGACGCAAGTGCGGTTGGAGCAGGGACCCTCAGAGCCCACGCACATGCCAGCTTCCTGCCATAGGGCTTCTGGGGTGCTCCTTGAAGTCTAAGTAAAGACCAAGAGCATCCCACAGGTGAGGAGTGCGGGCCTGATTGGAAGTTTCCATTCTGGTTCACCTGGGGTGTGGCTTGGAGCTGACATGTGAAGAGTCCTGCACTTAGGGAGGTCGCAGGGCCAGCTGACCTGCTCTCCCTGGAGGCCACCTTCATGCATACAGACACTCTCCTGTGGCCTTCAAGCCCATCTTTCCACATCTGATCAATGGATGTTTGTGGAATTCACGGAATAAAAGGGGGTACTTTTACCCAAGGACTTCAACTTCAGGAGGGCTTCTCGGGAGTCTTAAGTAGCCAGCCCAGTAGGAAGCTCAATGTGTCACTCAGCTCAGGCAGGAGACTCATAGAAATACACTGCCTCCAGGGCAGGGACAGAGCAGGGCCTCTGGACGGGGTAGGCAGACCCAGGCAGGGCCTCTGGAACACCGGTCACACATTGAAATATGAGGAACAAAAGCAGCCAACGTTAGACGCCTATCACAGACCCATGGATGCACTGAGTGTCTTCCAGGAATCCGTGTTTAACCCCACCAGAGTCCCAGGGGTCAAGGTCACCCAGCCTGCAGCCGGTCACACCCAGAAGTGTGTGGTCCTGGCTCCCAGGGTCTCAGACACTCCCCACCTACTGACAGAACACCATTCGAACTCAGAGAACAGACTGATGGCAGAGGATCTTTCCAGACTGTGAACTTCGCTGCCACTTTTCACAGTGAGTCTAAGCAGAAGGCCCTCCTGAGTCCTAAAATCAAAGCTCCTGGGCTTGAGCAGCCTGTGAGCGGTGCCTACACACACACACAGCCCCAAAAAACTCTGCTCAGAAATGCCACAGTCAGGCCTGCGGGAAGGGGAGCTTATTTGGAACTTCTCTATTCGACTTCAAGGCAGCTTTCAGCAGAATCGACTTTGAGTGAGCACCCGCTTTAAACCACAATTAGGAATTTTCGAGTGACCACCTCAAATACGGCAATTCTGCATTCCCATGAGAACCAAGAACTTTCTGCTGGTGCGGCCTTGTCTCCCGGTGAACACTAGAGGGCGCGTTAGGCATAAAGAATCCGTCCTCTGTTCCGTGTTAGAATAAACCTGCCTCTGGCTCTGAAGGCTTCAGGAGGGAGAGCGACCAGTGGCCACTCCACGCTCCGGTTATGCTTAAAAAAAAAAAGGTGAGGAGGTGCTCTCCAGGAAGCCCAACTCTAACACCTGCCACCTAGCATGCTGAGAAAATGCTTTTAGTTATTTATTTACTTTTTTTGAGATGGAGTCCCCCTCTGTCTCCCAGGTTGCAGCGCAGTGGCACGATCTTGGGTCACTGCAACCTCCGCCTCCCAGGTTCAAAAGATTCTCCTGCTTCAGCCTCCAGAGAACCCGGGATTACAGGCACAAACCCTCCAGCACACCGGCTTTTTTTTTTTTTTTTTTTTTTTTTTTTGACAGAGGCTTGTTCTTGTCACCCAGGCTGGAGTGCAATGGCGTGATCTCAGTTTACTGCCATCTGTGCCTCCTGAATTCATGCGATTCTCCTGCCTCAGCCTTCTCAGTAGCCGGGATTACAGGCGTGCGCCACCATGCCTGGCTAATTTTTGTATTTTTAGTAGAGATGGGTTTCACCATGTTGGCTTCAACCTGACTTCAAATGATCCACCCACCTGGGCCTCCCAAGGTGCTGGGATGACAGGGTGAGCCACCACGTTTGGCTGGAAAATGTGTTTAGTTTACAGCACCACTATTTATTTCTCTCAGCACACATGCCCCCGATGTGATATGGACTTTTGTAGATTCCTGATAAAGCAGCCAATCACCTGCCTGGCAACCCCCTACTTCCAGCACACCTAGTGCAGTACCTACAGCTGACATCCTAAAGGAAACGCCTCCCATCAGTGCAGGGATGGGCACATCAGATAGGCTAATTCTACAGGAATTTGTGAGACAGTCTATCAACAGCCACAACAAAAATGAAGGGAAACACAATTTTCCTCATAGGATTATTTGTAAGTTACCCATATTTCTGCCAAAACAGTTTTAAAGTTAACCTCCTTCTGACTTTTAAAAACATCCTATGTGACATCTTAGACCCTGGGGGCAGACCCCAGCACAACCATGGGTCGGTGATCAGGAGCGAGGACATTGTGCCTCAGTCCATGTGAGACGTGGTCTATTAAGTCTCAAGTGACCTGGCGGAAAACAAGGGCATGTGCCCAGGATGCCCCTCTCCAAGCGGCCTGCTAGATTAAAAGTAAGATACAGGTCATAAGACAGTGACAAACAGAACTTAATAAAACAACTGCTGTATGCTGGAAATCAGTATTATTTCAAGGTGCACTGAAAGATAAGCTTTAATAGATTATTTATAAATCATTTTCTAGAACAAAGAATTAAAATATAACAAAACGACATATATATTTGACTAAACATATACAAAACATATACAAAAAATACATATATAACAGAAAACTATACACATATTTTTTTCTTTTTTCTGGAAAACACATTTCATTTTTCCTAAAGCACCTGAGATGTGTGTGTATGTTGTTTTCAGGTTAAATGCGTGGTTTCACCATAGAAGCAAATCAGGAAATGTGATAACTTCAGTTTCATTACTTTTTCACAAAAAAGTGAGCGTTCAGTAGGCAATTATTCCTTCTTTAAAGCATGTTTAAACTTCCCCATACTGAAACCGTTAGAATCTTTTAAAAAACACCTGCATACGAACATCACTCACCCTGGGTTCCCACCAGAACCAGAGGAACCTCGCTTGTGTTCCGATAGTTGGCCATTCGACTGTAGTAGTGGTAAACAGTCTGGAAACTTATTTCGTCCTCCAAGCTGAAGACAAATATCACAGCGTCCACCCACATGGCAAACTAGGGAGAGAAGAAGGGGAGGAGAACAGGAGCTGAGTGACAAGGCTTCATTAAGAACGGAGATGTCTGGATGGGCCTCTGGGCGGCTCGGAGAGCCTGGGGTGGCAGACAGCAGGGTGCTGCGGGAATCCCCTTGGTCGCCCGCTGGGTGCTTGATTTTTGACTGTTCTTACACAGGGTCACAGTACCAAAGTCCTCCTCCTGAGGACGCCGTGCCTGGTGTTCTCAGAAACGGGCCCTTCACCCTGTTCCCACCAAGCCACTCTGTCTTCCGAGGACATAGCCAAGCAGTCTCCCGGCCGCCCTCATGCTCCAGGCCTGCCCACCGCTGCCCTGAGCGCAGACACAAGGCCAACCCTGCCTCCCTCCAGAGCCTCTCAAACCCCAAGGCTTTCCACTGTCCTCTCTGCCTCCTCTTCAGACCCTCCAGGAAGCCCTGCTGGACCCCTCAGGCTGAGAGGCGGGTATCTTCCCCCGGGCTCCCGCAGCCTGCTCAGAACCGCCCCCCTCCACCCCAAGGTTCTTCCCACGCCTCCGCAGGGCCGGCCTCCTCTATGAAGGGTAAAGATTGAACACAGGCTCAGCGTTGGCTGACCTCCTGCAACACCAATGCAAGGAAATGACTATTTTTAGGGAAAAGTGAAAAGTGCATTCGGTTTTAAGTAAAACATTTACATGATAAAACTTAACCCAAAGTTCTAATAAGTACAAAATTAAATGAGAATGAGGACTTGAAAACAAGGCTGGGAGAGACCTGGAAAGACGGCAGCTCCCACACAGCATGCCAGGGCCAAGGCTGACGGAGGCTTCTCCTTTTCCTCTTCTCCGCCTTGAGGAGCCCTCTTCCTGTCTCTTCCAACAAAGTGGGAGGGGCAGACTACCCCCGCACCCACGAAGAGTGCCGGCTGACCCGGAACAGACCTCAGTTCCCAGCACGGGAGCTGAAGCCCACCTGAACCTCCACCCAGAGGAAACGTGAACCGTGGCTCTAGTCTTCTAAGGGTGCATTCTGGTTTCCCCAGCTCCTTGTGTGTGGGGCACCCAACACACAACCTCCTACTCCAACAGGGTCACCATCAGAAAACTTAAACTATGTTTTGGGGTTTTTGCTTTTTGAGACAAAGTTTCGCTCTGTTGCCCAGGCTGGAGCGCAGTGCTGAGATCTCAGCTCACTGTAACCACCTCCTTCTGGGTTCAAGTGATTCTCCTGCCTCAGCTTCCCATGTAGCTGGGACTATGGGCCACCAAGCCTGGCTAATTTTTGTATTTTTAGTCAAAATTGGGTTTCACTCTGTTGGCTGGGCTGGACTTGAACTCCTGACCTCCGGTGATCCTCCCACCTCAGCCTCCCAAAGTGCTGGGATTATAGGCATGAGCCACTGTGCTCGGCCTCTTCTGTAGATTTTTCTACATATATGTACTTTTTGTAGCTTTTGTGATTCATATTCAATTTTGTGCTTCATGTATTGCTAATTTGCTCTGTAACTGTAGGGGAAAAAGCTGCTTCCAGTCAGTCAAAACATTTATGTGCTGGAGAAGGCAGAAAATAAACCCAGGTGATTCCTACTTCTTCCTCCCATCACCGACACAGGAGAGACCCTGCACCCAAGAGGTCCGTGGTGTAGCAAAACACTGTCCTATACACTCAGTGGACTAAGAAACAGCTGACTTTTACCAGCTTCGCAAGCCTAGGACCGTATCGGTCCGATCTCTAACTTGCCCTGCCTTAGTGTAAACTAACGGATGGTCACTGAACATGGGCTCAAGCTGCTTTGTAACTAAGTTTTCACTTTTAACATGTCTTCAAGGTCTTTCCTTCTTACGATCAAGTATATGGTATGGTCAATGCTAAGAAACAGAATTCTTCACACTTTAACATCTTTGAAATCAGAATGCACCTAAATATCGCTGATGTTTCACAGTTTAATTGGCGGCATTCTTCTTTTGAATATTGGTACACCTTACAGTCACTGGTGTTTCAGAGTCAAGGGAACATGGTAAATCTGTGATATCTTCTGTAGACCTCACGGCTCTCCAGTGTGTGGAGTACTAGACCCAGAAGTCCTGCATTCAGTATCTTTCCTTTCATCTTACAATCCTATGCTGCACATTCACAAAAAGTCCAGGAAGTAGTGCCAAGAAAACGTTTCACATTCAATTTGCATGAACGGTCACTGGCCATTACTAGCCCTTGGCTCCTTTAAAGTGCTTAACTAGTAAATTATGCTGCAAGTAAAACAACAAAGTGGGTTAAATAAACCAAAGAAAGAGATCATCCACACTCAGGTTTTGTTATTTCTAGAATGTCCATCTTTCCAGGAACTTCCCAAGAAATCCTAACATGCCTCATACCAGTTTTCGGTGGAGACTGCATTGCTTGGGGCAAGCCCAAGGGGGCACGCAGGGGCCAACACCTGCAGTTACCAGAGACAGAAAGAAGACCGGACTCCAAATTCCACCCAGCTAACTCTCTAAATCTCATTGCTCTAGAGATCAAACCACTCAAAGGAAAAGACCAAAAACAAACAAACTGAAATACACAAATTCCCAGATGTCATTTCAACCGGGTTCCCCAACCAGGGCAGAGTGCGTTTTCTGCCTTTTTAAAAACACAGACAGTGAAAAGCCACCATATAGACCCAACTTCTCTGCAGGATTTTGCCTGAAAAAAACAAAAACACGAAGAGGAAGCATTAGCTTCTGAGACATGAGAAGAAAATGCAGGGATAGGAAATATTTTTATGGGTTTCCACTTTTTTGAAAGCAGGTGTTGAATCCAACCTCAGAAAACAAAGGGGAAAAAAGCAGGCTTGGGGCGTGCGCATATACTCACCTGCGCCTCCGGGGGGCCCCCTTCGTCTCTAATCAGCAGCAGATAGCTCTGTCCGTCAACAACAATCTCTTTCTTGAACCTGCCACCTGCCACATACACAAAAGATCTCGTTACACAAGAACAACAGAGAGTGAGGGGCAAACAGACGTGGGCTTCGCTTGTGGAAAAATACACCCTAGGCTGTCGCCCTGGAGACAACTGAGTATTTAGGACGTCTCCAGCAACCGCTGAATTTTAACAGAGCTGAGCTCAGATTCAAATGTTCATCTTTAAGAACCTGTGTGCGTTTCCAGTTAGAAAGCACAGCCTCCTTCGCGATGCCAGACACTGGTGGCCGAGAAGTGTGGACTTTTCATGTGGGCTTTCTATGTAAATTCAGGAATTCTCACTCACTGGGAAACAGAGAACATCGCAATTGTCATTCTCTTGTTGGGTTCACAAAAGTGAAACAAATTTTTCATGCTTAACAGGTGCCTGATCTGCAACCTCTTGGTAAATTACAGGGCCGAGAACCTGTATTCTCCTCAAGAGAAACCCAGTTCTTGAAAGGGAGACATAGAACATCATGAGAATGGTGTTTCCAGGGTCACAGGTCACAATTAGGGGAGGGACGCTTCACTACTACACAAGGGTTAGACAGAAACTACTGGATGGGACCTCCGCACAGGTGGAGACAGCAGAGCAGCGGCTGACGAGGAGGCGTTAGAGACCACGCGGGGTTAGAGAGAGACCACCGGGACCCTGCCGGAACAGAGGTGACAACGAGAGGGTGTGTGGGCATGAGAGGCCCGGTGCCGTCCTGGACGTCCCGGCCCCTGACACTCTCAGGAGGGGGTGGTACAAGATGGCTGCAGTGCCCAGCCTGGCCCGCCAGGCCAGCCCTGCTCCTGCTCGGCGGCAGGAAGGATTCCACCCTGGCTCCTCTGCCTTCTCCAACAACAGACGCCCCTCTCCAGATCCTGGGCTCTGAGTCCACGCTAGGGAACCCTCAAGGGCATCTGGAACTCTTGGAGAGGGGAAGGCATGCATCGCTTCCTAGCTCCCGTCTTCTGCTCCTCTGTGCAAATGCCTTCTAGAAACCCTGTCTAAACTCCAAATAGATGGACCCAGAGGACAATGCTGCTGGAGCCCAGATGCTGCCTGCAGCTCCTCTGCTGCCCAGAGCCACATCTGACTCCCTCCCCTGCAAACGGAACCTTCCCTCCTCTAATCCTGGGTCTGAACCAATCAGTGCCCATGAAGCAAAAAATCTGAGTCCCCATCTCAGCCTGGAAGTGTCCGAGGCCCTCCAGAGGGTCCGCTACCCTCGGAGGCCACAGAGGGCTGCCCGGGGCGCTGGCCTGTTCCCGGAGCTCCTACCGCACTCATGTGCTCAGAATCAACACCTACGCGGACGTCGCGGGCAGCCGCATTTACTAAAGCAAACAAATCTGCTGTTCAGCTCACTCGATAACAAAACAATGAAGACGACCTTTGGAGGTTAAAATGAAGCAGATAAACTCTCATTCTGCTGTTCCCTCATCACTGAAACAAGAAGGTAGGGTCCACTGGAAATGGTCAGGCTGAGGTCCGTCAGCAGGGGACACAGCCAGGCCAGTTAGGACGCTCGGTCCAGACAGGGTGAGCCCCAGCAGCTGCAGGAGGGTCCAGAAGACTTATAGTTCCTGAATCGAGCGTCCTCATAGGCAAAAATAAACCGCTTTTCTAGCAGAGCTACTGTGACAGTGAAACGGGCTGGGAAACACCTGACATAAGGTGGACACCTCCACGTGTGACGCCGCTGCAGACGGCTGCCCCCAGACCCCGATACCGGCCTAGCTCTGCCTGAATCCTGGCTCTGCCACACACAGCTGTGTGGCCTCGCCTCACCTCAGTGTCCCCACATGCAAAGGGGATGTTGTCCTAGCAGGCAAGGAGTAGTAAGTTGACACAAAGAACCCTAAACAGTAGCCGGCACGGTCTTACTCGAAATTTCTGCCAAGGTTATTTTAACCTGCTTTTAGAAAAGTCCTATTTAACAGTGGCTACGCCTGCTTACCAGAGAACAATCTGCAACAGTGATGATATATTATTTCCCTTTCAAAAAAGCTTTTTAAAAAGAGTTGCTGGAAACCTGCTACAGCTTGGTGACATAAATTGAACTGGACCCTTTTAAGAAAAATAACATCTAAGGCTGGGCTCAGTGGCTAACACCTGTAATCCCAGCACTTTGGGAGGCTGAGGCGGTAGATGACCTGAGGTCAGGAGTTCGAGACCAGCCTGATCAGCATGGTAAAACCCATCTTTACTAAAAATATTAAAAAATTATCTGGGAGTGGTTCTGGGTGCCTGTAATCCCATCTACTTGGGAGACCAAGACAGGAGAATTGCTTGAACCTGGGAGGCAGAGATTACAGTGAGCCGAGATCATGCCACTGCACTCTAGTCCGGGTGACAAAAAAGAAAACGGGAGGGGAGGGGAAAACAAATGTTTGAAGAGGAAATCTATTCCTCTTTATTTGGAGAAAAATCTTCTCCTTCATACCCTGTTCTGTGCATGAGCCCAGGCATCAGCCCACCAGGTTCAAATCCCTGCCAAGCCCTCACTAGCTGGGTGACTTCCGGCAAGTAACTCAGCTGCTCAGAGCCTCAATTTCCTCACCTGTGAAATGGGGGTTAACAGCCTTCCTGAATGAGTTAATGCGTGAAAAGCACTTAGAACCCTGCTTGGGACAGAGAGGAGCTCAGAGAGCAGCGATCCTCATCACCCCTGCCCCTCCCCCCTCACCCCTAAGGTTTGTTTATCTCCCTCCTCTCTTCTTCCCTACTCCCTCACATTCACTGAAATCGTCTGAGCTTCTTTGCTAGGTTTCTGTACAAGTTTCCGCCTGCCGGCGTCCTCCCCCGCCTCCATCCCTCCTTCCCCTGACAAGTATCACACGCAGATGGACCTCGCTGCGACACCATCCTGACCCTGTGTCCTGAGCCCCACATGTGCCCCTCTGTGCCCTCCGATGCCGAGTCTCCTTCAGGTTCCCAGCTCCAGCACTGCCCTCTGATGGCTGCCCCGGATACAAGGGCACGTGGAAGCCCTCCCTGCTTGATGAATCTTGGGATTCAACTTCGAGAAGGCTTCACTGTCTTGACAGGGCATGCCAGCCCCAGGTCCCATTCCTCAATCGCTGGACTGTGTCACCTCCAGAGCAAGAAGGGAGGAGTGAAGCCTGTCCCTGGGGTCCTGCAACACCAGTGTCCCTAGGCCACTGCCTACCTGTCTGGGAGGAGGAACTTGGGGAGCATCACCACCCAGCTCTCATGGAAAGACCATGATGCCTCGGCTGGTGACCCTCCCTGGTGCATGTCACGCGAGCACGTGCAGGGCAGATTTCACGTCCATCCTCTCCTTTGCTTCCTCTAACGTGTTTCTGCAGAGGCACATTCACAAGGGAAGCTTCTAGGTAGTCGAATCACAACATTCAAGTCACGAAAGGTTCCCTAGGAGGGCGCTGAGGCTTCTCACCCTGCTCTCCTAAACTCTCTGGTTTTGTGACCTCAAGCAAAGGACTCCAGGCCCCACTTTCACTGCCTCTAAAAGGAGCTGTGATTCCTTCTCTCATCAGTAAGGTCCCTTCGAATCCTAAAGTCGGTTTACATTCCCCACCCAGATACAGAGTATAATGAACATTTCTTTTCAGCATTTTACAATTTCAAACAGGAGATACTGGTAACTGGTTTGCACGTTTTTTCTGGTATTACACTTAAATCAGAAAGCAAAAATTAAAATACTCCTAAGTATTTGCCATGAACTCAAAGGCGAATAATTAGATACAATTCAATCAGGTGCTCAAACAGCCAGGTTGTAAGAAAGCAAGAGTGTATTTGCCGGGGACATTTTCAAAAGGTCCTGCAGGGCACTCCTGGTGGGAGCAGGCTCAGCTCAACAGGGCCACTGGGCCTTGAGAAGCCTGGGCTGGCAGGTAGATCACACTTTAAAATTCATTTTCTACACTTTAACCACTTTAAACACAGAAGGAAAGCCTTAGGAGAGCAGCACGGCTGGCAACAAGCTGGTATTCAGCAGGTACCACCACTCACGTAATTTTAAATTCAACCCCATCATTTCATCCGATCTCACCCCAGTCACTAGACTTTTGTTGTTGTGCAGAAACCCAGCAAAGCAGCGAAGAGGATTTCAGTGCAAGTGAAGGTCTAGGGAAGGACAGCAGGGCGAGACTAGGAACGCTTGCGGGTGAGGTGAGAGGGGTGGGGGTGATGAGGATCCCTGCTGACTGAGCTCCTCCCTGTCCCAAGCAGGGTTCTAAGTGCTTTTCACTCATTAACTCATTAAGGAAGTCTCTGTTTACCCCCATTTCACGGGTGAGGAAACTGAGTTTTTGTTTTTGTTTTTTTTTTTGAGACAAAGTCTCACTCTGTTGCCTAGGCTGAATGCCGTGGCACTGACAAGGCTCACTGCAGCCTCGACTGCCTAGCAAGAGATCCTCCCACCTCAGCCTCCTGAGTAGCTGGGACCACGGGCCCGTGCCGCCACACCTGGCTAAATGAGATGGGGGCCTCATTATGTTGCCCAGGCTGGTCTCGAATTCCCGTGCTCAAGCGGTCCTCCTGCCTCAGCCTCCCAAAGGGAGATCTTTTTTCCCACCAAAATGTTAGAGGATACCACCCAACTCTACATCCAGTTTCAAGTAGAATGTAGGTTTCTAAATGCCTATTTTGTCCCCATTTCCACATATCTTCCTGCAGGTCTGTTTCGCCCACCTGTGTCCCCCCGGCAACTGGTGTGCGGCTAGGCCCACGGCCCATGCAATGGATCGACCGTGAGCGATGTGCAACCTTCTCTGCTGCCAATTATGATTACATAACCTTCAATGACATCAGGATAACTTCATTCTCAAAAAGGGTTTTCAGTTTCCCCAAACCTGATGTCCCTGTCAGACACGTATCTGGCCTAGGCACACTTGTGAGCAGGTGCTTGGCGAGCTCCTTGGGCAGGGGCAAGCGCTGGACCTGGACCACCTCCCAGCGGCCGGCCCCCCAGGCTGAGGAACTAGACAGACGGGCTGCAGCTGCCCGACCCTAAGGTGGAACC